AAGCTTTATTTTTTCCTGTGTTATAACTATTATTTATTTCTTGTCTAGTGAAAAAGGGTAAGACTTCCAGAAAGTTATTGATGGGAAATAGTGTTGACTTGTTTGACATTTTAAGGGAAATGTTTCAAATATTTCAACATTAATTGTGTTTTATCTAATTTTCAACTGGGAATTGAGCACTCAACTCTTTGGTGCATGGGCTAACACTCTAACTACTGAACAGCACTGGCCAGGGCTATAATATGTATCTTCTATTGATGTTTGTCTTCTTATGTAATTTACATTTTTTCTAAACAGTTACTGAAAATTATTTACTACATGCATCCTTATTTTATAGATATATCATTTTTCTCCTATTGGAGTTATCTAATTTTGTTGTCTTTTAAAGTAGTTGTTTCCATATAGAAATATAACTGCTTTTGATTATTTTTCTGTTCAACATCCATGCTGAAAGCTCTCACAATTTCTAAAAATCTGTGGATTATTTTAAATGCTATAAAGCATAGCATTTAATAATAAGCTTTATTTTTTCCTGTGTTACAACCATTATTGCTTGTCTAATAAAAAAAGGGTAAGACTGCCAGAAAGTCATTGATGGGGAATAGTGTTGACTTGTTTGACATTTTAAGGGAAATGTTTCAAATATTTCTACACTAGTGGTGTTTTATCCAGTTTTTAAAAAATATAATTTTAAAGTGAGTTTTTTCTTTTTTCTTTTTCTTTTTATCATTGACGCTATTACTACCATCAATGAATCAACAAACAAGATGTGGAGGAAAGAGAAGCTTCTAAAGTCTGCATTCCCACCACTTTGGAAAAAATTATGGAGTTTCCTTTGACCTAAAGATCCATCCCACCACTGGGAATATGTCCGAAGAAACCAGAGGAAACAGTTTGAAAGAACGTGTGCACCCCTGTATTTACTGAAGAGTTATATTTTTTATTATGTTTTTATTGATTGCAGAGAGAAGAAGGAAAAGGGAGAGAGAGATAGAAACATCAATGATAAGAATCACTGATCAGCTGCCTCCTGCACATCCCCTATTAGGGATCGAGCCCACAACCTGGGCATATGTCCTGACCAGGAATTGAACACTGACCCCTGGTTCATGGGTCGATGCTCAACACAGAGCCACACTGGCTGGGCAAGAACTACCTTTATTATTATTATTTTAAATATTTATTGTTTTTTGTTTTGGAGAGTTTTTTTTAATATATTTTTATTGATTTCAGAAAGGAAGGGGCAGGGAGAAATAGAAACATCAATAAAGAGAGAGAATCATTGATTGGCTGCCTCCTGCATGCCCCGTACTGAGGAGCAAGCCTATGGCCTGGGCATGTGCCCCGACTGGAAATCGAACCATGAGTGACCTCCTGTTCATAGGTCGATGCTCAACCACTGAGCCACATCCATGGGCAAGACTCCTTTATCATTTATTTTTTTAAATATTTATTGTTGAAAGTTTACATATGTCCCTTTTTGTCCCCCACTGACCTTTTCTAGCCCACCCAGCCCCTCATCTCAGGCCTTTACCACCCTACTGTGTCCATGAGTTATGCATGTATGCATACATGTTCACTGGTGGATCTCTTCCCACCCACCCTCCCTCTACTTCCTTCTCTCTGAGGTTAGCAGTCTGTTCCATGCTTCTATGTCTCTGCATCTGTTTTTGTTCATCAGTTTATTTTGTTCATTGGAGTCCACAGATTAACTCCATTTTATATTGTTAATAATGCAGACCTGCTGGTAATAAGTTATCTCAGCTTTTGTTCATCTGAAAAAGTATTTCCCCCTTCATTATTGAGAGCTCTTTCTGTTGGATACATCAGATACCTTACTTTACATTTTCATAAGTATCATGCAATTTTTAATTTATAGGACCTATCAAAATTGATTCCATTAATATTTATCGAGCATCTATTATATGTCAAGCATTGCCATTACAACAGACATCCAAACAAGGCAAAAACTTTGCCCACGTGGAACTTAAATTCTAGAGGAGAAAAATGAAATATAGTATTTTGAAAGATGAAAACAAAAGCAAGTTGAGAAGAGAAAGTTTTATTTTTACATGTGTCTGGTTCATTATTCAATTAATGTTCATGGATCAGGCTAGAACAGCGATTTTCAACATTTTTCATCTCATAGCACGCATAAACTAATTACTAAATGTGGGAACCCTAATAAAAGTATGCCAATGTTCAAGGCCAATTGGAGTGTGAGGGCCCTGTTTAGAGTACGCCAGATGTTTAAGGCCAATCTGAGTAAGGACACAGCAATTGTATTGTATACACTACGCAGGGGTACTTTTCTATAACCCAAATACTGGTGTCACTATAACCCAAATACTGATGTCACTATAACCCAAATACTGATGTCACTATTTGGCAAGAAATCTCCTTTGTTGAAGTTGGTATAGTGTGTTCCTGACCAGCCTGTATGAGGGTGCCTATAGGTAAGGCTGGCTACTGGGTCAAGCTGCTTTGTTAGCAGTGGCTGCTATGTTTACAAGAGCTCCTGTGTTCACTATTGTGTTAGCAGAGGCTGCTCTGTGCAGCTACTTGGTGAGGCTACTTTGAAGAACTGTTTTGTCTTAATGGCTCCTTGTTAGCAATGGCTACTTGGGCTACAATGCTCTCCCATTGAGAAGGCTAAAAGGCTAATTCCAATGTAACCTGTACGGTTCCAGGAGCAGGAAACAGGAGTCAGGGACAAAGGCACGTTAAAGAGAAAGGTTATTCCACCCTAAGGAGCAAGGTAGAAAAAACAGGATTAGAGGAGAAGGAGGAGGAAAGTACCCAGCTGGGCTGACTTGCTGAGAGAGAGAACAGCAACACGTGCAGCAGTGAGCATGCCTTTTGAGGGGAGGAACAGGAAGAGGTGGGACCCAGGAGACTCTGCATGTGCTGATTGGTGGTTGAATGTCTCAGGAATGTCCAGGCCCAGACGCAGGTTAGGTCATACTCAGCCCACCAGTTGGGGGGAGGGAGGATCTATCATAACCATGATGTTTGGGGGTCTAACAATCTGAATCTGTGCAGTAACCTAATGTGCATTCTTGATAACCTGTAATTGAGTCACTGCCCTTTCCTCCATAATCTGGTCTTGAAAGACCTGTTACCTAATGCTCACATTTTACAGAGGTCATAGACCATGAATAATACATGACCCTCAGAGGAGGTTATCAGTGCTGGCACCGGGCCAGACCCTAAGATATGACCCCCATTCCAACCCATGGGGCTTTTTGCAAAGCCCAAGAAAGGTCCAAAAGTCCCCATCCATATTTGGAGGACAAAGAAACCCAAAGGGGATAAAAGAAAGACTTTCACCATATTGGTTTGTTCAGACTTTGGAGGCAACTCCTCTGAGACTGCCAGGGCAATAAGGCTATGTAACTCCATTTCTCTAAGCTCTCTTGGTTTTTTTTAGTCTTCTACAATCCCATATGCCCACGACTTCTCATATTTTCTCCACCTAATACCCAATGTCTGCAGGGGTACAGCCCCTGGCAGAAAAGGACCTGTGGGAATAGTTGGCCCAGCGAGCAGGGTCAAAGAGTAAAGACTCGGATACTTGGCATCAAGAATAGGATTTGGGGATAAGTGTTCCATCTCCCCCACTAGAGGTCATGTTTCCTCCAACCAGGCTGTAGTATCTGGAGGTCGGACTAAATAGTCAGGTATTGTATGTTTTAAAATTTCTGAAATGCACCAATTGTAAACCTCTGGGCTAGAACATAAAGGCCAGTTCAAATATTGGCAAAAATGATTATTGGTATTCTACTGAGGCAATTACCATAAAAAAAATACAAACAAGCAAAGGATGGTGGAGATCAGGGACAGATGTCACCTTGAAGGGCAACTCTTGTGATTCAGTTTGGAACAATTTGATCATCAAAATAGGAAATTATCAGCCATCGAGAAGAAGATAATTTCACTACTTCACTTCTCTGCTATTCCTGCAAAGGAGGCATAACTTGAATATAACCCTGAGAAATAATCAGACAAATTCAAATTGAAGAACATTTTATAGAATCACCAGCTTGTAGTATTCAAAAGATCAAGGTCATGAATGTGAAAGAAGACTAAGGAACTCTTCTGGATGGGAGGAGATTAAATAAACATTTGAACTGGCTGTTTTACTCTAAGGAACATTATTTTGATAATTGGCAAACACTGAAGGTAGGCCGAGAATTAGTTGGTAACAATGTTAATGTGGATTTGGGTCATTGTATTGTGATTAGGTAGAATATTTTTGTAGGAAATATACACAGCATTATTCAATGATACCTGAAATTTCATAATTAAATACATCAGTTTGACAACTAATTCTCAAGAGGTTCAAGAAAAATATTTAGATCTTTATTCTGTACCCACAATCTTCTTGAAAATTTAATAGTTTCCAAGTTTAGATAAAACTTTTATAAAATCTAAAGTAAACAAAGAACATGTTTAACACTTTTACCCAGAATTTCCAATTTTAAGGTTTATATCATCAAAAAAAGTGCTATTATTTAAGAAAATATTTAGAATATTTATTGAAATAGTTTATAAGTAGCAAAATTCTAGAAACAAAGTTAATGTTCGTCAATAAAGGAGTAGAGAATCTATAAATCCACACCTTAATGCAACTCAGGACTATAGAAAATTTGCATAGAATATTGTTAATAATAAAAAAGCAAAATACAGAAAAGCAGACATAATAAATGAAAAATTAAATTAAAAAAATGAAAAAAATGAATTAAAAATCCTGAATATAAATGCACGGGTTTACACTAGATTATAGTATCACATTAAAAAACTGGAAAAGTTATACTGCAGATTATAAGCAGGTGTTATTTTGAAACTAGGATTAATATGGGTGATGAAGGGAAAATGGAGAAAAGATTTTGGTGTTTAATTCCAGTTTTAAATTCTTACTCTTGAAGATTAATGTTAGAACCTAATCGGCAAAAAACTTTGATAACTGATTATCCCACTATAATTCATTTTTTAGAATATTAACATTGACAAATCCATTTGAAAACACTGCTGCAGGTTTCAGAGTAAATTTTGTTTCCCTTGATGGCAGCACAGCTGTTTTCGGTAGCTGGTCCTTTTATGACTAATCTGCAGAAGAGAGGATAGATATATTGTTAATCATTGCTGCTGAAGAGATCCATTTGTATTTGCAGCTAATGTCCTCCCTCAATTAAAGGGTAATTCAAAATTTCAAGGCATTTGCAAATACTTTGACTCACTAAACATTACCATATCTCTGTAACTTAGTATTACTATCTGATTGGCCGAAAGTTCTCAGAGAGTTAGTTTGCAAATGACAGAGCTAAGAATAAATGTGTGCCCACATTCCCATTTGAGTATTTTTGGCATTGTTCCATGTGGTCCTTAGGTTTTAAAAAAAAAAAAAAAGGTCAAGTCACATGAACAACTCACTTAACTTTTGTGGCTGGCTTCTCATATCAAAATGTTCAATGGCATTAATAATATTTGCCTCATGATACTATTATGAGGTTAAATGGACTAATATTTTCGTAGAACTTTGTACACAAACTGACCTATTTAAGCTTTAACTAAATTATACATTTATTGTGTTATCTACGACGTGCACTGACCACCAGGATCAGACGCTCAATGCAGTAGCAGAAATCACAGGCATGAAAACATGGACCAGACTGATGAATCTCAAAGGCAATGAGGGAGGAGAAAGGACGGGAAGAGATTAACCAAAGATCTTATATGTATACTACAGGCCCGGTACATGGATTCATGCACCGGTGGGGTCCTTTGGCCTGGCCTGTGCTCTCTAGCAATCCAGGACCCTTTGAGGGATGTTGGGCTGCTGATTTCAGCCCGATCCCCGCAGGCCAGGCCAAGGGACTCCCCCAGTGCATGAAACTGCACCTGGCCTCTAGATTATCCATAAAGAAGTATGATAAATACAATTATAAAGTTACCTATAAAATACTATAATGTTAGTGATTTTATTCTGTTAGGAATTTATTTAAAATTAGGAAAAAGTTTAAGAAAGAATCATGAACAAGATGTACAGGGTCAAGAAAACTTTAAAATTAATAAGGAACAAATAAATGTTGGATTTTTATATTGGAAAATACTGTTTCCAAGTTTATGTTTGAATTTTACATTGAACAAATTTGGAACAAAAATCCCCAGGCATGGTCTAAAGTTAAAACTAAATCTTATAGGTAGTGTTGAGTGGATTTGGCAAGGAAAACTAAGCACCTTCCTTGGTGATCAGAGAATGTTCAGTGTTACAACCCTACCCTCAGATGATACCATCTCATAATTTTATTCTCCATTCCAATAATGTCTTTGATCGACTTGCTTAGATTAATTCATTTAGTGCAGTGAGAGCACAGGCCAGGCCGCAGGACCCACCAGTGCACGAATCCATGTACCAGGCCTATAGTCCTATCTATTAAAGAGGGAATATGCTAATTGTTATCACACCCTCACAAAGATGCAGCGCCCTCAGCCAATAAGGAGGAAATCTGCTAATTGAGTGCCATATCCTCAAAGATGGCAGTGCCCACAGCCACTAGATGGCAGCACCCACCCAGTTCCCTCAGCCCCACTGAGGTGGCAGGCACACAGATGCCCAGGACTGGTCTGTGGTGTAGGCAAGCCTTGGATGGAAGCTTCTCAGACATCTAGAGCCAGCCCAAGGATGACTAAATGACTGAACAAGCAGGCTGCATGGGGCGACCAGGCCAGCAGGAGAGCCATGAGGGGTGACTAGGCTGGCGGGTGGGGGGAAGGGGGGAGGATTTGAGGGGAGTAAGAGGTGACCATGCCAGAAGGGGTGGTACAGTTGAGGGCAACCAGGCTGACAGGGGGGAGAATTGGGGGTGATTAGGCTGGTGGTGGGGGGCAGTGAGGGGTGACTAGGCCAGTGGGGGAGGAGAGTAGTTGGGGGTGACTAGGCAGGTAGGCAAGTGAGCAATTAGGAGCCAGTGGTCCAGGATTGTGAGAGGAATGTCTGATCCCTGGCCTAAACTGGCAGTTGGACATCCCCCAAGGGGTCCCAGATTGGAGAGGATGCAGGCTAAGCTGAGGGGGACCGCCCCCCCCCATGCACAAATTTCATGCACTGGGCCTCTAGTATGCATATTAGATCTTTGGTTAATCTCTTCCTATCCTCCTCCCCTACCTCCTCCCCTCTGAGATTCATCAGTCTGTTCCATGTTTCCATGCCTATGGTTTCTGCTCCTGCACTGAGCATCTGCCCCCTAGTGGAAAATAAGTAATATTTAATGACAAATTAATGGAATGGAAATAACACAACAGTATCATTAATTGGTAACACAGAATATTAGTTTCTTATCACTGCTCTCATGAATTTCCACTAACTTAGTGGCTTAAAACAACACAAATTTGTTCTAGATGTCAGAATTCTAAAACTAGTTTTACAGGAGTAAACAAAGTGTGTACAGCGCTGCCTTCCACAGGCCCTGAGGGGGCGGGGCGTAGTTTTGTTCATTGCCCTTTGCAACTTTAAGAGGCTGCATGCACTGCATGGGCCATGGCTACATCACTTGGACCACATGCCCCTATTTTCTCTCTTGTAAGGACTCGTGTTTACATTGTGACCACCTGGATAATCCAGCATAATGTTCTTATTGCGAGATCATTATTTAACCACAGCCTTGAAATTGTTTTTTGCCAAGAGAGAAAAGACAGTCTAAGGATTTTGGTACTTGGATATGGACATCTTTGGAACCATTATTTTGTCTACCAACATCAGGATAAAATTTGAATTTACTCGTTTCGCTATTTGCATCTCTAAATATTTTATTATAAAATTGACATAAGCACACAAAGACATTGATGGAAATTTTAAAATCCGCAATAATATCATGCAGTTGCTGAGAACATTTTATATTCTTTTGTTTGATCTTATAATTTCTCACTTATCTTTTCATGTTATGACAGACAATCGTTATTATACAAAAATTATACACAAATTGTTTTTTAGTTACTAAAGATCCTGAAGTAAACATTGGGAATGTGAAAACACGAGAGTACATTGGTTCAGTCTACTTTTTCATACAAATAAGGAGTGGTCTTTAAACAATAAATATGCAACCATTTTGTTTTTGAGTTTTGTTTTTTTTAGTTTGTAAGCCAAACGACAATATTTGTTATTACTCCAGTGAACATTAAATTACTTTTCATGCTTTAAAATTCTTCAATACCAATAATTACTTCAGAGTTTATTTTGGTGGACAAAGAGATGTTTTATGAAGATATGTCTTACAATAAACAATAAACCAGATTGCCTTTTAGTAAAAGACTCACATCTTTGAAGCTACTGGAGAACCATCCACCCAGTTCCATGTTCTTTTCTGGGAGGTAAAGTTAAGTCCAATCCACACATAATTTGATTGTTTTAGGTTTTTCTGTATAAAAGCCTAAAAAAGTGAGTAATGAGTAACTAGATGAACAGAATATTTTTAATAATTTAGACATACTAAATACAATTTTAGAACTTTATTGGGCTTCTTGCACCCCACATGAGGATTCTTATACTAATTAATTCATATCTTATTTATACATGTTATTTGATAGATTATATGCATACACATAGTCTACTTGCAAATTGAATACAAGTATTAAGATGAGGACTAGCAGGAGTCAAAGTGAGGACACAATTTAAGAGGGTCCCCAAAACTCAGTAATCAGGATAAATGATAATTTAAGGAAGGGTCAGAAGAAATTTGAGGAAAGCCATTTTGAACTGTAAAGGGGATAATGCCATGATACTAAAGCGCATACCATTTCAAATTGGTCCTGAATTATTACTAGATGAGAGTTTCTTCCCAAACAATACCCATGACTGTCACTCCAGCTTTTTAATTCATTAGAGAACCAATAACACTTTTCTTGATATTTGAGCCATTCTGATGGACACAATCCTATAGAGAAGTGGGAAAAACAAAGAAAAATTAAATTATAGGTGTATCTCTGAAAACTGGCAGTGAGAATACTTGTGTTATATAAATAAGAGTTGAGCTATAATAAAAGCACTCATCACTGAGTGTTCAGACTCACAGTGTCCAAAATACAAACATAATTCTTGGAACTTAAGAAAATTAATTTAGTGAGACAAAGCAAGCCCTAAACATAAAGGTTTTTCTTCATGCTATGATTCAATATAATTATTAAAATAATGTAAACCAACATTAAAAGATTATCTTATATCACTTGCTTAGAATTTATCCACATAAAGTTTTTGAATCTCTATCTTTATTTTATCTGTGTAATCTCTCTTAATGTCTTCCTTTTGATATTAAATAAGGCTGAGATTCATTTTTTCAATCTCTGCAATTTCAACTTCATCAAGTCCTTTAATTTTCTTAAATTACATTGAAGTCTCCAAGTAAAAAGATCTGAGACTTTTGAAATAATAACAAGGGAAAATGAACTATATATAACAATATAATTATACGCCAAAATAACTACCCAAATGTGGCCATTATAATCTCTTTTTTTTTTCTTTTTCTTTTGTTTGGTTAATCCTCACCAGAGGATATTTTTCCATTGATTTTTAGAGTGGAAGGGAGAGAGAGAGACACAGAGAGAAAAACATCAATGTGAGAGAGACACATCCTGCACAGGGATGGGGATCAAGCCTGCAACCCAAATACATGCCCTTAGCTGGAATCAAACCCAGGACCCTTCAGTCCACGGGCCAATGCTCTATCCACTGAGCCAAAATGACTAGGATGACTATAATATTTTATGTGTGATATGTGATATTATCACAATTAATATATGATAAAGAAGACCACACAAATTAGAGGAACAGAGAAAATACTTAGATAAATAGTTATAAGTTAATTTGCAGCTTCATCACATATACTATAAAGTAAATGTCTGCCTTAACCGGTTTGGCTCAGTGGATAGAGCATGGCCTGTGGACTGAAGGGTCCCAGGTTCGATTCCAGTCAAAGGCATGTACCTTGGTTGTGGGGACATCCCCAATAGTGGGTGTGCAGGAGGCAGCTGATCAATGTTTCTCTCTCATCGATGTTTCTAACTCTATTCCACTCCCTTTCTCTCTGTAAAAAAAATCAATAAAAATATATTTAAAATAAATGTCCAAGGTTCAAAGAGTTGTTAAAATATTTAATTAAAAAATTTGAGAGAACAGTTTTCCAAAATGCTGTATGATTGCAAGTTCTAAGCTTATTAACATAATATCATTTTATTTGCTAGAACTGCTTTTATCTATTTATATTTTTTTTAAAAAGATAATTAAGAAACAAAAAATAGAATTTGCATGTTGCCTTATCATCACAGTTAAGTTTTCATAATTATATGTCTCAACTTGATTTTACATCTTTACGTTCTGTTTTATAGCTCTTCCCCAACTGTAAATATATACTGGTATGTGAATCAAGTTTTGAGTGTCAAGTAGATTTATATCAGATATTTGTTTACTTAATTTGTTAATACACGTTCAATGAGATTTTTCAAATTTAGAAGGCCTAAAAGATTAGACCTTCAATAGGCCAAAGCCTTGAAAAATACCTGTATAGTCTGTAGCACTTGAAGCATTGTGGTCCGCATCTTTAGTACTTATGGTTCCTCTTGTGCCACCCTTCATTTTCAGGTTTCCAGTATTATCATGCTGGGTGATATTTGAATTATTTCCTTTTAGGCATTTTAGCAACACTCCTTGAGACACTTAAAAACAGGATTATGGTAAGTCTGGATAAATATCTTTCCTGCCTCATGTCTCAGAGACAAATCCTTAGCACGATTCTGATGACTGGAACAAGAAATCACCGAAGGGGTAAGTAGAAAGTTTCTTTTTCATCTACATGTCTAATGAGAAATTATTTCAAATACCATACAATTAATTCACTTAAATGACACCTATGTGTTGAGGTTCTTTTCTGTGCCTTGGCATTGTCCTGAGAATAGGTGATACAGCAAATAAAACAAAGTTCTTGCTCTAGGAAGTACATATGCTCTTTTCATGCTTTCTTAATGTTTTACCGAGGCTTACAATGCTGTGTGTAGCCCATCCCACCGTAATTGTTAACTGAACATCTATTTCTTCCAATAGAATATGAGCTTCCTCCACATGATTATGTCTTTCTTCAGTTTGGGAGTTTGTAGTAATGTTTGTGGTATACGTGCTGTTCAGTAAAATATTCGTTGGGAAAAAAAGTAAGAGTAAATTAAATATAACCTTACATAAAATGTATTAAAATTATAAAATTCTATCTACTTATAAGAAGTTGACAAATAAAGAAATATTGTTTTTAAGTATTCACCTCAAAAATATGGATATGTGCACACACATACACTTTCCTCCTATCAGACTGTTTGCCACTTGAGAACAAATACTCATCTGATTTGACTATATACTAAATATATTACAATGAAGTATAATAGATTGCTTGATACATAGGGGCTCCTTATTAAATCTTAATGTAAGGAACTATAAATATGAAATGAGACAAAATATGAAAAAAAAACATAAAAAGTACACGTTTTCATATATTTGTTTACTTAAAGACATTTTCACTTACCCAAAAGAATCAGGGTGATAAAAGTCAAAATCAGAATACCATTTACTGTTCCAGATATTCCCAATAAGATTTTGTACCAGTGTAACATCACAGAAAAATCTGAGAAATTAATCACATAAATTAGCTTAGAAAAGGACATTTCTAAGGAGTGGCAATTATAATGTCTAAGGAGTGGCGATTAGAGTTATATATAATGCTAGAGGCCCGGTATACAAAATTTGTGCACAAGGGGGGAGTGTCCATCAGCTCAGCCTGCACCCTCTCCAATCTGGGACCCTTCAAGGGATGTCCAACTGCCTGTTTAGGCTCAATCCTGGTGGGATTCGGTAGTCGGACATCCCTCTCACAATCCAGGACTTCTGGCTCCCAACTGCTCTCCTGCCTTTCTGATTGCCCCTAACTGCTTCTGCCTGCCAGCCTGATTGATGCCTAACTGCTCCCCTGCCAGCCTGTTTGCCCCTAACTGCCCTCCCTTGCAGGCCTGGACCTCCCCCCCACAACTGCTCTCCCCTTCAGGCCTGGGTCCTGCCCAACTGCCCTTCCTTGCAGGCCTGGTCACCCCCAATATCCCTCCTCTGCCAGCCTTGATTGACCCCAACTGCCCTCCTTTGTAGGACTGGTCCCCTTCAACTGCCCTCCCCTGCTGGCCATCTTGTGGTGGCCATCTTGTGTCCACATGGGGGCAGGATCTTTGACCACATGGGGGCAGCCATCTTGTGTGTTGAAGTGATGGTCAATCTGCATATTACTCTTTTATTAGATAGGATAGAGACCTGGTGCATGGGTGGGGACTGGCTGGTTTTCCCTGAAGGGTGTCCCAGATCAGGGTGGGGGTTCCCTTGGGTATGGGGTGGTCTGGGCAAGGGGTCTGTGGTGGTTTTCAGGCTGGCCATGCCCCCTGGTAACCCAAGTGGAGGCCCTGGTATCTGGAATTTATTTACCTTCTACAATTGAAACTTTGTAGTCTGGAGCAGAGCCAAGCCTCCTGCTTGCTACCGCCATTTCTGTTGGAATTTGTTTACCTTCTATAATTGAAACTTTGGAGCCTAGAGTGGAGGCTTAGATTGGCAAGGGCAAACAGAAAGCTTGGCTTCCTTTGTTGCCAGGGAAACCCAAGCCTCCCTCTGCTCTCTGTGGCTGTAGCCATCTTGGTTGGGTTTATTTGCATACTTGCTCTGATTGGCTGGTGGGTATGGCTGGGGGTGTGGCTGGTGGGTGTAGCGGAGTTATGGTCAATTTCCATAGTACTCTTTTATTAGCTAGGATTGGTTTTGAATTTCAAAGGCTAATAGGCAATCAAAAACATAAAAACTAAGTAAATAGAAAAACATTTACTTTACTGTAGTTATAATGCTCTGGATGGTCAGAAGCTGTGTCATGTATTATATTAGGTCTTGAAATATTGCTACTATTCAACATAATTTACCATTGGAAAAAAGAATTTTAATCTACATATGTAATAATCTCCCCTCCATACACATACACTCTCACATGTGTGTGCATACACTTACAGACACTTATATTCACACAAATAAAACCTTTCTAAGTAATCATTTTTTTATAATGTTCAGAGCAGTTTTGTTATAATAATCATAAACTGGAAATAACTCAGAAGTCCTTCAATGAATAAGAAAACTTTAGACCCATACTATGTAATATAACTCAGCAATATAAAATAATAAACTATTGATACATGAAATAATTAGAAATAAAATTAACACTCTGAAATGAATTGCCTTTATATATCCAATATCATTTAAAATATAAATTTTTAAAAATCATCACTTTGGGTAGCTAACAAAACAAAAAAAACAAAACAAGAATAAAATTGGAAATAAACTTAAAAATTACCCCAAACAAGTGCCACAACCAACATAAGGAGAACTAAACAAACACATAAAGAACTGAAAAAGCTTAAATGTAGACTTGAACAAATAGAAATTCAACCACTTTTGGTCTGGAGGCTGTGTCAAAGAGATAAACTTTTCCTAAGTTAATTGATAAATTAAGAAGAGATTTAGTATACTGAACTACCTCAGTTTGCTATGGTTTGGGTTGTTTGTGATGAATTTCTGCAAACTTTATTATAAAATTATTTAGAAGAACAAACAAGTGAGCTAACCAAGTAAACAATTAAAAACATGAAATGCGAAATGATAAAATGCTACAGAGAGATACTTAAAGAAGTTCACAAACTTCTATAGGCATTTATATCATCATCCAGCAACCCTTCTAGAAACCTGTCCCAGTTACATGTTAGAAAAATATAAAAAGACCTATGTACAGGCCTTGTGATAGTAATATTATTTTTAAAAGAATGCAAATATCATAAATGTCCAACAGTAGGGGAACTGTTGAATAAACTAGTTGAATCAATTAGTTTAATCGGATAAGAGGGACAGAAACTGGATTTATGGGAATTGGCAATCTCTGGAATTACCTTGCTATAAAAATATATAATGTTTTACATAATTATAAAGTAATTATAACTTATTGTATAACATGTATTATATAATTATAACATATAGATTCATAAATAATTATAATTATAAAGATAAGCAAAAATTTGAAAAAGTGATCCCTAACAATAAAATGGAATCTGAAGTAAAGGACCCTAACTGGGCATAAAGTTAGTGGCTTAACTATAGATGAAGAAATCATTTCAAGTAATTTGAAAACATAACTTGACTGTGCAAGTCCAACAGAGTATATAGCAATAACAAAAACCACCAAAACATTTTAATCTGTTGTAATTCTATTATTATTAATACTATCTCTAGTAATTCTGAAACTTTATACATATGGCAAAAATATAATTTCTTATTATTATTAATGCCAAGATCTGAGGAGTTATACAAATATTCAATTGCAAGGCTTGAATTGTCAACTACACTCAAATGTAATGTTTTACCCCAAGCTTTACTAAATTTTAGCAAAGAATACTCTATAGTAAAGTATTAATAGTAGAATGTACTATTTAATTAACTATTAGTAAAAGTTGCAAATTTCTTATTTGTAGCGCCCTGAGCTCCTTGTTTTGCACCAAAACACATTTTGGTTTTCATGCGACATCTACTAAGTGAGTGTGAAAAAAGATTGCACATAGGAACCACCGCATTTTGCGATCTTTCAGGCTACTATTTCTATTTTCCAAAACAAAAATTTTCACCTGGTGGAAACCATATTTTAAAGTGATTAACAAGCTAAATTAACACTTATTATTTAAAATGCCATATTTTATGAATAATGACGTGCATGACAGACAACTCATATTCATTTTTAACTATTAATTTTAATTTAATGTAAACATTTGCTGAGAGTATCCTAATAAATTATATGAGACAAAATATTATTTTTAAAGTAAATAACTGTTAGTTCCACATTGATAAGTGAGAAATAAAAAAGGTAGAGAGGCGAGATGGAGAGAGAGACGGAAGACAGAAGCGCCAAAAAGTGAAATAGTTCAAGAAGAGAATATTAGAAATTACTATCTACATTAATATTCATGTTAATATTAACCCATGTTAAATCCATGCCCATATCAATCCACACCACTTGAAAAAAAAACAAAACAAAAAAAAAACCTGAATTTCATACCTTTACATTTAAGTTGGGATGTTTGGCTAGAATTCCTTTTTCTCAACTGCACATTCAATTTCATGTATCTTTCTTCATCTTCCATCTTTAATGTGGGTAAATGTGTGTGTGTGTATTTATGTACGTTTTGTTTTAAATATGATATGTAATAAGAAAGTAATGAACCTGATGCTAACCAGGGGTTTGTCCTCAAACTACTAATTTGTTCTTAAGATGTCCACTCAGGGTACACCCAAGGCTTCACAGTTTCATCGTTGGTGAGAACCTCAGAGGAAGTGTTTTGTTTTCCTTTTCTCAACACCCAAATACCATGATTTCTCAATTTTCTACCACATGTTTAATTTAATATAACGGTTCTTTAAAAAATTTCTTCTTATAACTCCAATAAAGTCAGAGGAATAGAAATTATATCCTTTAAGAATTGAATTAAATGATATATATAGCTGCTGTTTTTTAGCTTAAATATGTAAATTTTCAGTTACACTCCCTAATACTTAGCTTGGATTATCTAACAGTTGAGTTTTTTTGATCCTAAAACTTTTTAAATTATACTAATGATACAATTATGTAATTTGAAGAAAAAAATACCGACAATGCTAAAGATATCCTAAATGTAATATTTGAAACATCAGGGTGAATTCAGTGAAGAAACCATATTTTCCCAATGATCTTTTCTGATATTCAAATATAATGCCCAATATTCATGATGTAGAGCAGAAATGTGTGCATTTTTTTCTCTTAGCTTTAGTTAAGTCTAGTTTACAAACCACCTTGTTCACTTATTGCATGTATATGAATGTAGTTTAGAACTTTTTCTCACTATAAAAAGTTCCCTTAGGCCCAAATCAAAACAAGTAACACAATTCTAAAAATGGTAACTTTGCCCTAGTCAGTTTGGCTCAGTGGGTAGGACATTGGCCTGTGGACTAAAGGGTCCTGGGTTCGATTCTGGTCAGGGCACATACCCAGGTTGTGAACTTAGTCTCCAGTAGGAGGGGTGCCAGAGGCAGCCCATCAATGATTCTCTTTCATGTTGACGTTTCTATCTCTTTGAAATCAATAAAAACATATTTTAAAAAGAGAAATGATAACTTTATTCATTGCGATGAAGTAGTTTAAAATTTAGGTATCTAGATCTCAAATCTCTGGCAACTGTAGCAAATCCAGAATGGAAAGCCAAAGACTATAGCCATTAAACTTCACTAGTGAGTGTTTGGCCAATGATTAAGTAAGAAGGTAGAATCTGGTGAAGGTATTCACTTGGGAAATGGAGATGTTTTCAGGGAGAGCAGCACGAGAGTCTTTGATTTCATTCTCCACAGAGATTTGTCTAACTCAGTGACATAGTAGCTAGTTCTTTTTTAAAGACCTCATACAACCACTAGAGAGTGCCATTTCACAAGAGGAACTGAATGAAGGTTTGCCCATGTGAGTTGCTGAAATACAGAAAAAGAAGGCTGAAAAGCAGCCTTGTGTCAGAAATCAACTAGCCAATTTCATTTACTGTAGGCCTGTGGTTAGCAAACTGCAGCTGGCAAGCCACATGTGGCTCTTTGGCCCCTTGAGTGTGGCTCTTCCACAAAATACCACAGCCTGGGCGAGTCTATTTTGAAGAAGTGGCGTTAAAAGTTTAAGTTTTAAAAATTTGGCTCTCAAAAGAAATTTCGATCGTTGTACTATTTGGCTCTGTTGCTATTTGGCTCTGTTGACTAATGAGTTTACCGACCACTGCTCTAGGCTTTTCAGAACACAAAAATCATCAAGTAATGTGCTTTAATTCATTGACTCTTTCGCTTTTATTAATCTAATTATTTTCGTAAAGCATGCAAAAGCAATCAATCTAGTTATGTTTTTCAATTTTATTATATAAAACATACATATGACAAAGTGATATGACAAACTTTACTGCTTTATACACACTAGAGGCCCAGTGCATAAAATTCATGCACATGGGGAGGTCCCCTCAGCCCAGCCTGCACACTCTCCAATCTGGGATCCCTGGTCTAAACTGGCAGTCAGACATCCCTCTCACAATCCTAGATCGCTGGCTCCTAATCACTCACCTGCCTGCCTGCCTAATCACCCCTAATTGCCCCCCACTGCCAGCCAGGTTGCACACAACTGCCTCCTCCTTGCTGGCCTGGTCACCCCTAACTGTCCCCTGCTGCCAGCCAGGTTGCCCCCAACTGCCCCCCATGCTGGCCTGGTCACTCCTAACTGCCCTCCCGCAGGCCTGGTCACTCCCAACTGTCCCCCTCTGCCAGCCTGGTCATCCCCCAATTGCCCCCCTGCTGGCCTGGTCACCCCTCACGGGCCTCCCACTGGCCTGGTCGCCCCACCCAGCCTGCTGTTCAGTTGTTTGGTCATCCCTCATTAATCCCCCCCTTCAGCCTGGTCGCCCAATGCAGCCTGCTTATTCAGTCATTTGGTCATTCCTCACTAACTCTTCTGCTGGCCTGGTCACCTCACACAGCCTGCTGTTCAGTTGTTTGGTCATCCCTCACTAAGCCCCCTGCCAACCTGGTCATAGGCAGCCATCTTGTGAGGGCATAACAGTGAATTTGCATATCATTAACTTTTTATTATATAGGATTTCCTCTTAAGAATGCTAAGTAAAAATAACTTACAAAAGTTTAAGTAGAAGTACTTTCAATGCCAATCTGGAAAACCATATTCCAAATAGCTCTTAATAGGCCTGAATACTATAATATAACTGTAAAATTAATTTTTTAAGGAGTAAAAAATGGAATTAATGAGTTATGTGTTAGGTATTATGTCAAAGTCGCATTAAGATCTATGTTGAACTTTGTTAAAAGTTACATTTCAAAATCGCAAAAAATAAAAACGTGGTATTTTGCTTTCTTTTTTTTCTTTTTCTGAGAATTGTCCTAAATTATGTTGGCTTCCTATTTCATACTCCACTGAGAAAACAAAGTGTAATGCTAGCCAGCCCAGATAATATCTGAACATTTTATATTGCTGCAAATTAAGATAAAAGAAACAGTGGAAAAATAGAATTTATGTCTAGTTCTAATTTATTCAGTATCCTGAAATTTGACATTTTCATCTTTTTAAAAAAAAGAAATAAACAGTTATGACTATCCCAGTGAACAAAGACATAATTCTGCCATCAAACTGCTGTGTTTCCCTGAAAATAAGACATCCTCCGAAAATAAGATCTAGCACATGGAAAGATAAGACATCCCCTGAAAATAAGACCTAGCGCATCTTTGGGAGCAAAAATGAATATAAGACCCTGTCTTATTTTCGGGGAAACAGGGTAAATATATATACTCACTAGAGGCCAGGTGCACGGAATTCATGCACTGGATGGGGGGTCCCTCAGCCTAGGCTGCACTCTCTCATAATCTGGGACACCCTCAAGTAGGGTCCCTAGGCCTGGCTTGTGATCAGGGCCTATCAGGGCTTTCCTTCCCCTGCTGCTGGCAGCTGGCCCCACCTCCGCCACTGCCACTGCCTCCACACCCCCTGCCACTGGTCGCCTTCCTCTGCAGGCGACAGGCGTGGGGTGCAATCACTTGGCTGGCCTGGGCCTCCCTCTGTGGTGCAAACATGGGATGATGGCAGGGCCCCTGACCAATCGCATTGCACCCACCTTGGCTGGCCTGGCACCAGCGTGTGTCATACCATGGTCATCCAGATGGTCATTCCACTGTTTGGCTATTTGGTTGATTTGCATATGACACTTTTATTATCATAGATGTGAGGAAATTAACAACAGAAATTTCACCAGTGAGCATGAAATTTTAACATGGGCTCATGAAAATAACATTCTACGTAAATCTCCACTATCAAATCAATTCACATAGGAAGCTACCTGTTATAGCTACAAGTATGGCTAATTTAAAGAAAATACCGAAGAAGAGTTAATATGAGACAAAGAACATCTTTGTGTAGATTTCACTGGAGAAGACTGATACTGGTAGAGTCAGTGGAAGTGCTAGAAGTAGTGAAGATGGTAATTTCAATATTAATGATATTACTAGTACTACTTCTCTAACTGCCAAAAAAAAAAGGATGTTTATAAAGGAAAGAGAAATATCAATTGTGTCAAATCTTTTTAAAAGTCCATTAAAAAGAAAATTGATTACTAAATCTATATAGAATAAAACAATAGTTCAATAATGACCTTGAGAATATTGGGGGGAAATGATTTTAAGATTTATCTGGAAGAATACAGCAGAGAAACCAAGGTTTCTTTCCCCTTAAAGAAAAAAAAAAATATTGTGGTATCTTCAACCAACAGATATAACAACAATAATAATACTGTCTGTCCAAACTAAAAATCAATCACCATTGAGGTCTCAGCTCAATTACAAATTTTGAATAGTTCCACTGGGTGTGAGGACTAACATTATGGATCAAGTGGATCTGCCTAAAACCCATGCAAAAGCCAACACATTCATCCTCACAGGTGAAAGCAGTCTGCATATCACTGCTCTCTGAGTTCCCATCATTCTCCCATGGCAAAGACAGGAAGAGTCTTAAAGATATTTAAGATATCTTAAGTCTTAAGATATTTAGTGGTTAACTGGCCCAAGAAAAGGAATCAATGCAGTACAAACTATATAAATCTTTTTATTGTTTACACTAGACTCCTTAGCACAATACTACCCAGAAAAACACACACAACATTTTTTTTTCCCAGCAAAGCCAAGGTGGGTATCTATATGGGTAGCATTTAATACTATGGGGCTGGAAGGAAGCATCTAAGAAGCTGATAGAGTATGATTTAGAGGAAAATGAGAGGAAAGAAGGATTCTGCAGAGGAGATGTATAATGACTTAGAAGGCTTAGAGACAGTTTCATGCAAAACAAATTGAGAGAGGTAAGTGTAGAGGGATGGGAGGTTTGGAGGGAGGAAATATATATCTAGAGTTGTTTATAGTTTTATGAGACATCTCGACATGGTTCTGTGTTATTCCCCAACTAGAAAATCTATGAAGGTGCAGGTATTGTATAGGCATTGGTAGAAAAGTAGACTTAATTGCAGAGGAATAGCCATATTATATTAGTCAAGTCACATAGCAGTGACTAGAGACACTATCACTATAAAGCAAAGGT